GGCCTATTCGAAAAAGTAAAATTGCGATATTCAAATGAGATCGGAGGAATGAATATTTAACATGTGATCCGATCGAAAAAGACATATGAACCACTTTGGATGATCTTTTTCTTTTTCAAAAACAAAATTAAGATCGGAGTAACGAACCTTTAATAAATGATCCGACAAAAAAAGATATCCGAACCGCTTTGGATGATCTTTTTCTTTTTCAAAAAAATCAAGATTGAAAAAACAAACCTTTAATAGGTGATCCGATCAACAAAAATATACGAACCACTTTGGGGTGATCTTTTCTTTTTGAAAAACAAGATCAAAGAAACGAATCTTTGACGAGTGATCCGATCAAAAAAGATATACAAACCGTTTTGGATGATTTTTTTCTTTAATGAAAAATCAAGATTGAAAAAATGAACCTTTACTAGGTGATCCGATTGAAAAAGATATACGAATTGCTTTGGGTGATCTTTTTTAAAAAAATGACATCGAAGAAACAAACATTTGATAGGTGATCTAATCGAAAAAGATATATGAACCGCTTTGAGTGATCTTTTTCTTTAATAAAAATTCGAGATAAGAGAAACAAACCTTTGACAAATGATCGGATTGAAGAAGGTATATGACTGCCTTGGGTGATTTTTTTTTTTCAAACGAGAGATTGGAGAAACCAACATTTAATAGGTTATTTGATCAAAAAAGATATAAGAACCATTTTCGAGTGATCTTTTCTTTTTTGAAAAACCTATTTATATATCACATAAAGTTTTATAGAATATAAAGATTTTTAAATCACTTCGGCCTATATAGTACTTTATGGATATTTTATTTTGATTATTAAAATTTTAAAAAATCTTTAAAATAGATCAACAAAATTCAATAATTAAAATTTGAAAGTAATAAAAATATATCAAATTTTATCAAGTTATTAAATTAGATCCTTTGTTATTATTTTATGTTATTTTTTACTCATTTAGATTAAAACACTCATAATTTTTTTTATTTGTTTTTACCATGTTTACTAATATTAAAACAAAACCCTTTAAACAAACAATTCATAAAATTATGTTTATGCCTATATTTTTAATTTCTATACGTACCACATATAGCTAAAATCCAAACATATTAAAATTCAATAAGTTGTTAAATTGGACGTGTGCTATTTTCTTATAGGGAACCTTTGGTTATCTTTTTATATTATCTTTAAATCCTTTAAGGAGAAGGATCTTGTTAGATACGTATGCCTATGAGCCATACGTATTGTGTGATTTGTAAACAATTATCCCTTCATGGCAATAAAAAATATATTAATTATATAAAAGTTATTTATTATTTTGAATATAATCTTTAAGTAAATTGTTAGAATGTCTATTTTGAAATATGTTTAGAATATGAGTAAAAAATATGTTTGGAACAAAACACTTTAAAGAGTTTATGGTCATAGATACCTAATTGAGCATCTTTTATACTATCACCTCTATTTGTTTATAATAGTGAGTCTCATGCTATTTGATATATGATATCAAAATAAACACGTGGATACTTTTTTTTAGTATGTTGAACGGTAACATTAGATGATGATAATATGAAGTTCTTACTACTCGTCAATGATTTATCATTTATATTATAACCGTGTATGTAATTTTTTGGCTTAAGGTGACACGATTATCTCACATGTAGGTGATTAGGATTTGTTATTGCTTACATATCTATGTTAGTCATGTATAAGTATATGGCATGTGGTGGCCCTAGTTAGTTATGTGTAAATGGTAGGTGTTTAGCCAAGATGAAATTCATTATCTTGAGTAGACAAGGATAAGATTCTATGCTATCTAGTTAGTCTTGATAAACAAAGTTCTAGGCCGGGACGAGTTAGATTCATTAGAAAAAGGTTTTCGTCTTATAATATCAAGAATTATAACGAGATGAGGTCATATTATCTAAGCAATTAGGGTCTCGGCATTTATATTATCCTAGCTAAGATCGAGATCTTAAAATGAAAGGATTTGAGTGCACGATGATCATGATCATTGGTTTCATGGAATGTACCTAATTGGGTTAATACATTTATCTCTAATTAGGTAGTCATGATATGCTATGTTAGGTATCACTCGTGACTTGTGGAACTAAGGATGCATTGGGAATATTCTTGAATAAAGAAAAGAATTTTCTCATGATATCAAAGAGTTGATATCATACTCCCATTGCTAATTGACATAAAACAAAAAAATCAATCACAATAGAGCTTTTATCGAATGTGCAATTATCGTCATGATTATTAATTAAAGTGTTTAATTAATTAGTCGAAATAATAAGATTAAACTTGTAATTGAATTTACGAAGTTTAATCCAAGATAGAGTAAATTAATCAAGATTTGATTTATATAAGATATAAATTGAGAGTCGTTACGCTTAGGTCAACTAATTAATTTATCCATCAAGTAACATAATCTTAATGGAAGATTATGCATCTTGATTAATGCATGCATGAATAATATACTAATCAAGTAACATAATATTAGTGGAAGTTTATGTGTCTTGATTAATGCATGTATGAATAATATATTAATCAAGTATCATAATCTTAATAGAAGATTATGTGTCTTGATTAATGCATGCATGAACATCAAAATAAAATAAAAAAAACATAATATTAGTGAAAGATTATGTGTCTTAATTGATACATGCATGGTGACAAATGTCTTTATGAAAGACACGTATCACCACCGATGCATTGAAGACAAATTAGTTGATAGTGTAGAGAACGGAATGAGGCAAGAGCGTGTCTTGCATTCTTTGATCTCTAACTCTCTAAGTATAAAAGACATATGACTTAAACTCAAGAAAAACTTAACCTTTTTACCACTTCAAACTAGACTACTTGGTAGGAGCTATAAACTTTGGAAAATTGAACGAGAGGATCAAAACTAGCAAACTAAGTCTTAGACCGAAGGCTCAATCGTGTACGGTTCTTGTGGATGGACTAGAAGCTTCACATTTGGGGAGCCAAAAACGGAAATCAACTTGTTTGTGCTGCACTTCAAAAGGTATGAATTTATTTTGTTGATATTATGCTTTTTTATGTGTGTTTTAGATATCTTTTAGCTAATTCTTGAGTTATGAGTTATGAAATATCTACTTAGGTCGTGATGAGATCACACTCGATTGTTTGTTTTTAGATTTTTGAAATTTTGAATGCTTTTGTTATGCTCTTTTCCCATTCTTTTTAGATCTATGCATTTTGACAAATTTTACTAGTATTAAAAAGGACTTCTTAGTCGAAAAGTATAATAAAAGCTTTATTCGCGCACGCGCACACACATATATAAAGAAAGTCTTTAAAATAAAAGAATTTGTAAAAACAATAATGCTAACGTAAAATGATTTCAGTGGAGTTTTGAATAAAAAATTTATTCATATTTATACCTTAATTATTTGTGTTATATATATATACGGATGGTTTTACTCAAATTTTATTCCTATATAGTATTAATTGATCTTTTCTATTTTCTTAGAACCAATTTTAAGATTTTTATAAAACAATATTATTTTTGTGTCTAAGATATTTATCTTTTTTTTTTTTATCTTTTTTATGTTTTTGTCTTAATATCAACCTTACGCCTTATATTTTTGTCATTATTACTTCCTTTTTCTCGTCGATAGTACTAACGCCCTTAAATTTAAACGTTAACTCCACACACTATTGACATGTGTCATTTCCAAAAAATAAAAAATAAATAAAATTTATCTCAAAATAACGAGTTCGATCACTCAACCTTTTGATTTTGATAATGAATCCCAAAATTTTTTTTGTAGTTAATAATTTTTTCTTGGTTGGATTGATTGGTCATAAATGTGATCGTTTGTTATGACTATAGTTGATATTATTGTGATTTTGTTATGTTAGAAGAATGGATTGGTTGACTTATGTACGATGAAAGAGTTAAATTGACGAATTTGATTTTGTGAGTATTGAATTATTGTTGTTAGGTTATGGAATTGTTTTACTTTGATTTAGATTTTGTTCCATTATATTATTTTTCAGTGATTTTTTTTTAGGTTAAAATCAAGGGAACAATTTATTCTTTTTAAGAAAGAATAAAATGGTAATAAATATATTACACTATAGGAAATAGTTTTTGTTAACAAATATATCTATTTAAACCAACCTAACTCTTATCTTGCTCAACCTATTTATATTATTTCACTAATTTTGACAAAGCTTACAATTTGACATATAATTATTAATCAAAAACACTTCCCATTCAGGAACTCAATCATATTTACTACAAAATACGAGGATAAAAACTTCAAATAAAGACTTATTCGGAAAAAAACTAAATTTATTTTTTAAAAAATTAAGGAGCAAAATGAAATTAACAACAAATTATACTGTCGGTACAAGATGCATGCAAACATACCGTTAGCCATAATATTTAACAACTAACAAAATGTATAAGGATGATATTAAGCCAGAAGAAAGTTGAAGGACCTTTGAAACACAAAATAAAAATTATAGGTTGCCGAAAACGTGGAGGAATGAAAAAATAAAGGCAAAGGCCAGAGATCCCGATTCGAACTCCCTCTCAGTGAGTCCATGACCTTACCATCTTTCTTTCTCTTCGTTCTTTCTGAAACCCTAAATTAATCCAATCTATTACGTTACGTTACATTACATTACTCTTCTTACGTCTTCTATCAATCCAACAAACTAGGAAAAGGCTTCCTTTTCTGCGTGGTGGTGGTGGTGGTGGTCGTCCTAATCAAACAAGAGACCAAAACCCTAGATTAATAAGAAGAAAAATTCCGAAATCAATTGCATTCGTAAGTTACTTCCAATCTATCTGCTGTGCATTAGCGTTTCGATTTCTGTACTTTCCTTTTGTTTTGTACATATTTACTAATTGAAATTGAATTGAATTGCATTCATAGGCATAGGCATAAACATAGGGTCGTGAGATTGTTGGTTCAAGTGGAGATAGATGTAAGGAAAGAGAATAGTAAAAATGAGCAGGCTTTCGTTTCGACCTCGTCCACTTGACATTCACAAGAAGCTTCCTATCGTCAAATCTGTTAAAGATTTTGAAGAAGATGATAATACTCCTACTTCCACGCGCAACTCTCAGCTTCTCCGTATCTCTGCTGCTTCACTTATTCCTACTCCTGAACTCGACAATGAGTTGCCCCACATTCCTTCCAAGAAACTTGCTGCTGAAATTCCTACTCCCCAGTTTGTTGTTGTTGATACCTATGAAAGAGATTATGGTCGCACTTTTGCTCAGCCCACTTCGTATCTTCGGGGAAGGGGAGGTTTGTCCGGTGCCTCTTTAACTACATTTTACTATTTCTTTCTCTTTTTCTTTAAACCAACTCACTGTTTTGTATTTTACAGCTCGAGCTGAGATTGGAGAATTTATTGAGTATGATTTAGACAACGAGGATGAAGATTGGCTTCACAATTTCTACAAGGATAGGAAGAATCTTTCACCTGAAAAGTATATATATTTTTTTTACTTAATTTTTGGCGGATTATTTCTGTGCTGCTTGTCATCTAAATACATTGTCATCATCTTCATCTCATGTTCATATACTTGTAATGTAGGTTTGAACTTCTGCTTTTCAAGTTGGAGGTATTGGATCATAAAGCTCGGGAAAGAGCAGGGGTTATAACACCTACTCTTGGTTCACCAATCCCTGTGCTTCTACAATTTGATGCAGCTCTTGAGGTCAAATTTTGTTTCCATTCTCCATCACCTAACCAATTTCAATGCTGTTCTCACTCACTCATTAACTACCTATTTTAGGTATTCATACTTGTTAAATGGGTAGTTTGCAATAGGTTTTGTATTGAGATACTTTTTTGAGTATTAATCCCTTGTATCCTAATTAGTAGAGGTCTGGAATCTAGCTGAGTTGGGCTGCATTGATTAGCCAGGAAAGAAAGTCCTGCTGTCTCATGTTCTCAAGGATCGTTATATTTTAAGGTCATGGGATATAATTGGGAACCTTATAAGAAACGAGGAAGAGTTAAGTAGGACTAGAAAAAAATGGGATCGAATCTTGACATAAGTTTTTTGATTTTCATCATGGTTATTTTGCTGATTAAAGCTTGGTGGGAGATCTGAATTTTGAGTTTCCATGGCGTATTTTTTAGGATAATCACTATATTGTTTGAACTTGATTATGCATGTTTGCATGGTTAAGCATTGCATTCTCACTTCTTGCCCCCTTTTTTTCATCAATTTGTTCAATTTATATGCAAAGATCAGAATTGGTCACAAATTATCTAGCATCACTTAATCATCCAATTAGAAACAAAGTTTTGGGGCTACCATAAACCTCCAGGGGAGAGGGTGGTTTCATTGACTGATGATTAGGGATTACAATAAAATAGGAAGGTGCTCCACTCGTCTACTGTTGCATGCTTTGGGCATATATCTTGCTTTCATATAAGGTGCCTATGGTTTCAAATAGCTTCAACTGTATAACCTTGCTTTTCCTTGGCTCATTGCGTCACACTTCATTTACAAGGGGGAATAGCATTTTGCAGCCATTATTGATATGGTGTCCATTATTAATACCATTGTATGAAAAATTTCAATTGTTTTGCTTACATAACCACTTAGTCTGTGCTGTTAATGTCATATTTTACAATTTTATGGTCTTATGTCACTGTATTCTTGTATGAGTAACAAGAATTAGCTCTTTTGTAAGAGCAGCATCTACCATGCCATATGCATATAGTATCATGACTCAGGCAGTTCATGCATTTGGATAGCGATAGATGTTGCTCTTGGTAAACATGCTTTAAAGCTGACCACTCTATTGAAGGAAATTATTTGCTGACAAATTGTCCATAGACGTAGATGATGATTGATACTTATAAAGATGCATTCATCGATTGGTTTAAGTAGCTATGCTTTTAGTCAAGTGCAAATGCAAGAAGCTTGATAGTTGGCTTTTATGTTTGTCTTGCAATTTTACTGCTTCCTTTGATATGAACTTTCCTACTAAATACATTGATTTTAAACCTTACTGGGCCATGAAATGGAGTGAGAAGTTCATGTTTACAATATTGACACTTCTAGTCTCTTAGTTATGGTGCTTTCATTTTGAGTTTCTTTTTGTCTAATCATTTGATAAAAATACATCTCATTGCTTTTGAACCTCTTTTTGATTGTTTTTTCTTTATGTCAGGCCTTGCAAGCTCAAACTCAGTCCACCCGTTATGCAGTTTTCCAGTCTGTTTATAATTATTGGAAAGATAAGGTAAGGTTTACAAGGGATTATGATAAATTTAACTTCAGTTGCAGTATTCTGCTTTGAATCCTTATGATTTTCATAGAAGAGATTTAATTTTAAGGTATGCTCAGTTAATGAGCCGACAGTTGTGATATAGTTGATCATATCATAGAATATTTATCTTCTTTTTTTTCTCTCTATTGCTAGCGCGAAAGATGGCAGAAACCTATTCTACGGCGTTTGCAGGTTAGTTGCATGAAATCAATATTTAATTTTTGGATGAAGTACAAAACTGCTGGAAACTGTGCCCATACACTTCTAAGTAATAGGTGGTAGTGGATGTGATTGAATCTTGTAAAAATTATTGATAAATTGTTGGAGAAACATTTAGTAAAATTCATTCAAAGCACATTGGCCAATCTTAAGAAATTAATGATACCTGTCCGGTCATTGTGGCTGCACAAATGTTGATGGTGCACCTAACAAAGCTGAAGCTTGTGGCAAATTATTTTTAGAAGATTTTTCTGAGGACAATTTGGAGGATTTTGGCACTAAACCTACCATCCTATCCCATAAATTTCTGTTTAATTGTTAACTTTAATTAGCTTGTTTGCTAAGACTCTCTTGGAACATTTTGTTAGTGAAACTGGGTTGGATGACAAGTGGTAACTAATGTTAGTAATCGGCTTTTTATCAAGATCTTTGTTTATGCTTGTCTCTTGTTTTTGTATCTTTGTAAATTGATCGTTTCCCACCTTGGCTTTTTTCCTCTTTTTTTTGTACAGCCTCCTCCACCTGTTAATGATACCAATCCGTACAATGTGTTTAGACCAAGGGAGAAGGCCCACAGGCTGCATACAAGAAGGGTAGATGCTTTTGCTTTTTGTTTGAAATTTAAGTGAAATTTCCTATCTTCTATTCATAATCTTTAAAAGAATATGCTAATTGTTTCTAGGTTCCTAAACTCTTCCTACTGTTTTCTTTAGATGCAAAGGAGGGAAAATAATGTGCAGTCATTTGACAAGCTTCGCCAGGTGAGCACTATTATTTCTTTAGTTATCATCAATACAAAATACCCATTCAAGATTGTCACTTGTATTTCCTCGGAAGATACCATCAGTTCTGTGTTTTGTAATGCTAATTCTTGTTTCTCATATTTTTGCAAAGAACTATGAGATAAACATGAATCTTTTAGCAGCTCTTTTTTTTGGCCGAACTAGAAGCTTGTGCACTCATGTTCTGAGTGTGCCCTCTTTCTTTCTGGTCTAGAAGCAATTAACATGTTGGACATTATCTGATGGCATGTCTGATGAAGTGCCTAAATGAAATCTGGGGATACTTTGGAAACTCATGGCTAGCAATTAGATTTTAATTAGTCACAGGATCTCTTTGGTCTAAAAGTAAGCATCCATGGTAGTTTAATTGCTGTTCAAGTATTTAGCTGGTTAGGAAATTTCATATCTGGTTAATCTAGATCTAACAGTGTTTATAGTAGTTTGTTTTTCTTGCTTAGAAGTCCTATCCTTTTAAAATTGCCAACCCTTTGAAAGGCCTTGTGATGTGTCTATTCAGCAGAGTGTATTTGATTGAGATGTTTTGTTGAGGCTTGGTGCATATTGAAAAGTTGGTTCTCTTCTCCTTTCCTGCTTTAAAATTTTACTGCTACAGTGTCGTGGGTTACTGTTCACAGCCAGTGACCTTGACGTTATTGATTTGTTATAATTTCAGTTATATCTTCTCGTTTTACCAACAACCTGAATCCCCTGCAGAATTTTCGCCAATCATAAAAGTAAATCATCCAGAATATAAATATACCGTAGTTAACTTTGCTGCTCAAATTTCAAACTGACAGCTCTTTCTAGGCTAGTTTTTTTTTTTTTTCGAAATCAAATCCCAGTTAACTTAAACTCAAAGTTTTCTTGACTCCTTAACCATAACCCCTAAAATTCATAATTTGCTAAAAGTTTGCCCACTATAAACATTCTAGTTGGCATAATTACAGTTCATAGTATATATTTTTTCCTTCTCCCTTTTCAACTTATGCAATACACTTTTGCCCTTTACTAACCAGGCCTTCACATGCTTATTAATCTTGAATGCAAGGGAAATCACTAGTAGAATGTTCCTTTCCTGAAGACTCTGTGTGTGTGTTGGGGGGTGGGGGGAGTATGCCTGCAAGTTTTTTATTTTTATGATATGGTAATGACATAACTTATGAAAAAATGAACGAAGTGAACTGATATAGTTTTTGTCTGGTTTGTTGGCAAAATGTGAACAACTTTCTGTTATAATCTCTGATATGTTGTATCATTTCTCATATGAGTATTTTATTTGCCTTTGGAATTATCTTCTATATTCAGGTCAGACGCAACCTTGAACAAGCCAAGACCATGCTTGAAACTCTGATTAAGGTGGGTTTTCTGATGAAGGTTTTATGAATATGTGGAAGCATGCAAGTCCTTGATTTTTTTTTCATATCAACGGTAGCATTCATTGTCTGCATATATATGTATGCATGCAGAGAGAGGAGAAAAAGAGAGAAGCGATGGAGAGTGAGGTGAGCCTCCAAAGGATCCAAATGAAGTACAAGGTATGTCATGTACCTCATGGTTGGCTCTTCGTTTCCTTTTTTCCCTTCTTTTTCTTGGATCATTGTTTTTTCAACATACCAATTTGTTCATTTGGATTGTCTGCTGTGCCATATAATTGCTGTGTCTGGTGGTAACCCTTTGCTTGATTGGTGCAGCATGAAACTGAGCTCCTTGAAGACAGCTTGGCTGTTCATGGATTCCCACCTATTTCTTCCAAGTTCGCTTCAAGTGAAGATGAATTTGTTGATTCAGATGACCATGCAAACAGTCGTCCACGTAGCAGACCTACTGCATTTCAAAATCCACCTGTGACAGACTCCAACCTGCTTGCAGTTCCTTCTGTAAGTGTGAAGCAAGAGTTTAGACGGCGGCATACGCCACTTGGATGGCTCAATAAAATGGTAAAGGCATTGATTCACTTGTGAATCAGATATCCTTTCTCTTTCTTTCTGGTTGCCCAACTCCCAAAAGCATCAATCACAATAAATAGTTACTGTTACACTAGTTAATTAGTATTTTTTACTAATAAATAAGTTGTTAATAAGTTAATGATAAATTGTGGCTCTATTTGCCCTTTCTTGAATATGTAAATTTGTTGTTAAATTTTCTTTTATTTACTGGTAAATGCAGGACCCTCTTGAGCCAGTGCTGTTGTTCACAAAGCCTCTAGTTCCAGAAAAGTTGGCAGCTGCAGGCATTGTACCACCAGTAGATTCTTCAATGAAGAATGATGCATCCATGCCTCCTTATAGATTTCATGGAAGAATTGGCCGGGGTGGGAGAATTATATTTGATAGATGGAACCCATTATTACGAACTCCAATTGATCTTGGTAACTCTTTATATATACCGCCGCCAAGACCGCGGCCTTCAGCATACAATTGAACTATGATTATTTGCTTTAAATCTCACATCCAGCTGTGACTGGTGAAGCCACTGAGAAGAGAACCGTTTGATACACTTATTGTAATGATACAGTGGAATGGAGGGGAAGTTGCGGGAATTGTGAATATAGCAATGAGCCTATTCACCAGTATCTTAGGCTGTGGCTGGAACCCACGCTCATGTATCATTGTTATTTTTCTGCATTTGTTAGAAAAAAGCTTACTCCCTAAATTGCAAAGAATCAAGCACATGAGATGACATAGCTGAAAGACAGCAGAGCTGGATGAGCCTAGGTCTGTTGGTTGCTTTTTCATCAAGTTTAGTTCATTCTTTAGCAAATTAAACGAACAGCAGATTTGACATAGCCAAATAATTTTGGCTTTGCTGAATATATGCGTTTTTTTTTTTTTTTTTTTTTTTTTTTTGGGGTACGCAAAGGGGTCGAAGGAGAAGAATTAAGTAAACAAGCTCTGTGACAATATGCCAGCGGGCAGGGATCTCGGAGGTACATTAGGGAACTTAGTAATGGATCAGCCCATGAGAGGGGACTTAGGAAATGAATCAGCCCACGAGAGCTGTTAGGCCCAATGTACAACAAAAACTTATTTAAGGATCTTGTATTTGGTTGCTTTCCTCTTTGGATTTTCTATTGAGGTTTTGTATGGTTTTTTATGTTGAGGAGTCTTTTTTTTGTTTTTTGTTATTTTTTTTATTATAAATATTGTTAGTTTGAAAGCTGACATGGCACATTATCTTCTTGAATGTGACGTGTTGTATATGGATTCTCTTAATTAAAATGAAAAAGAGTATGAAGTTTTAATCAAAATAATTTGAAGAGTACCAATATCAATTTTTTTTTTTTTTGACTTTCTATGTTATTAGTTTTTTAAAACCTCATTATGAATGCACAAAATTGGTGATATGCGGGGCCTATCATACTAAAATTGTGAAGATTTTTTTTTAATATTATAATATTTAAAAATAATAAAATACATATAGAAGAAAAGAAAAAAAAACCAACATGCAATTGAAAAAAAAATGAGTACAAAAGGTTTGTCAAGATTAAAATGAAAACAATAGTAATAATGTTTGTCAAAATTAAAATAAAAGCAACAATACTACTGATTGATAGCTAATTATTTATAGTTTTTAACACTATTCTTCACTTTGAATTAGTCAAAATATTAAGAATTTCTTATTTTTTTACGAAGAATTAGACCTAGTAACTAGGGGGTCTATGGTAATTTTATAGTGCATACCACCTATTTTTGTTTCATTAATTTTTTAAAATAATATTTTATTATTTTTAACTTATTATAACAATTTTTTAAGAGCAAGTATACATATATATCCTTATATAATACTTAAAATCCATCACATAGCTCTAGATTTCTAATTACATCACATTTGTTCTTAAAAGTGTTTGAAATGTTTAATCTGTCATTTCGATTAATTTTTTCGATCAAATAATTTTTTTATTGAAATGCCTTTTATTGAAATGTAAAAACAAAAATATTAAAGACTTCAAAAATAGAATATGTAGGTCATGTGACTTTAAAAGTTTTTTTTTTTTTTTTTTGGCATTTTAGTAAAGGGCATTTTGATATATATAAAAAATCCTAGTCGAGAAAATTTAATCAAAAAGATAGATTGAACATTTCAAAACCTTTTAGAGACGAGATGAAATATAATTAGAAACTTAGAGATAAATGAGAGATTTTGAGTATTGTATAAGGACATATGGGTATATTTACCTTTAAAAAATAAAACTCTTTTAATGTGATGGGGTTCTACATATGACACATTTTACACATTTAGGATGAGGTTTTTAAAAAAAAAATTAATAACATAAACATTAATGGTAATGATAATAATAATTTGGTCCATTTAGTATTTGAATTATTTTTATGAAAGCTTTATACTCTTTTTCATAGTGATTGAGTCTATCTATTGATATCTCACATATGACAAGTATTGCATGTTTAAAAGGATAATGTATTGTATCGACTTGCAAACTAACAACATTATAACACAAGGATGATAACAAAACAAAATGAAAAGTAGAGAGACTTAATCAATATAAAAAAATAATAATACAAGGTTTCAATAAAAAATATTTGAAGAGCATAAGGATCAAATGTAGGCAAAACCCATTTATATAAGCCCAAAAAGAAAAACAATTAGTTCTAACAAAAAATAACAAACTCTAAAACACTTTGATACAAAAGATTTATAATTCATATAGAAAACGAGTTCGAGATAATGCACACTAATGTCAATCAAAAAACCATAATTGATCAACAAATTCATATAATAGTGACTTTTATAAGTGTGATGAGTACAAACTTGCCAATGAATTAGCTTTAAAAATTCCTTAACAAAGGCCCTCTAATCAAACAAGTTGAAGAACGTCTTACAACATTAACCAAAACCACCAATTACATTTCGAGCTCAACTTGTCTACATCTATATTGCCAAATGAGCCATAAACCCAAGACAATGACCCATAACTCCCTAAATGGATGTAAATGCCTTTAAATTAGCCTTAAAAGCATCCAACCATCCACTACAAAGATTTCGAAAAGACTATCAACACGAACAAGTCAAGGATTGTGTTTACTAGCACAATTTGTGTTTTCGGTTTAGAGTAACCAACAAGTTTTCGAACTCTTTTTTAACAATAATAGCATGAACGACCATGCTTGTCATAACACCATCGGCAAAAACAACAATATCAACATACCTCCCATTTTTAATGATCCTTATGAGCAAAGATTCCAAATTTTCCAAATAGCAACCCTAAAGATTTAGCAAATAAGAATATATCAAAGCAAAATATAAATAATAAATATCGGGGTCATTACTTTTTACTCAAATCATGGCACATTGCCAATTATAACTTTTCATAGCCTATAAATGATGTAGGATAATCGTTCTAGACAAACTATAAAAATATAAGAAGATAATTGATGCCATGGATAGATTCCTTTAGAATGAGAAAAAGTTGAATTAGACAAACTGTTCTAAAGAATCTATATAATAGAATATCAATTACCAATCATAACAAGCATGACAAAATAAATAGGGAAACTTGCCTCCTAACTCAACCGTAAGCTTTCTCTAGGTCATGAAAAAATTACTTTTTTTAGCATTCATCAACTTCAAAATTAAACTTTTAATTTTATTAACAAGAATTTTAGTCACAAACTTGTAAGTAACATTATATATACTAATCAATCTAAATTAGATTTAGAATCCCAAGAAACCATTTTTTAGATGAGAGCAATATGCTACTATTAACAACTCCAATATCTCGTCTTTCATTAAAAACCATCTTATACAAAGCGAGAAACAAAATTACCTACTAAAGGCAATTGAGATTGATAAAAATGAGTTTGAATCCCATCCAATGTTGTCCTTTAATGCATCCATATATATAGATAAAGAAACAAAATTATATTTGTATCCTCTAAATAAGGATAACAACCTTTCATGAAAATCAACCAAAAAGCGTGCATTATGATTTCTACAAGTGAATTATTGTTATTTTTTAATTCCTTTCCTAAACTACTTCTCGTTCAATTGTTGAAAGATAGAGATACGTTTTCTAAATAAAATTGATTTTCACGAGTATGTAGGCTAGAAAGATGATATTTGCTACTATTTTATTTATTTATGCATGAAGTTCAAAGAAAATCTTAAGTTATAACGAATAAATTAGAGTAACTTGTTGTTTTATAGGCATTTATCATATTCTCTTAAAAGAGTTTATTCTATCCTAACCAAAAAAAAAAAACACACAGAGAGAATTTATTGTTCAACTCATATCCATAGCCCTCTTCTATAAAAAATTCTCAAATTAATTCTCATTTGTAATCGAAAAATAATAGAAAATTAGCTTCCTAAATAAAGCATTGTATATAATTTGGAACATGTGTTTAATGACATTACCAAACATACACTTATTTGATTCATTCAAAATTAGAAATATATTAAATGCATTTACATGAAAATATTTCATGTGAAATTGAAATAATGTTTTTTTTTTTTTTAAGAATGAATCGTTACGGTTATTTGATCGTTTTTTTTAATATAGATGCAATGGGTTCTCATCATTCTATAATTAAATTTCTTTTGGAGGGGATCATGTGATGGAGGTGTAACATATTCTAAAAAATTCTTAACAAATAACACGTTAGACCTTAGACGAGTGATATTAAAACAAATACTCATATATAGCTAAAATTCATTAGAATATAAATGGTACATACAAGTGTTTCTTAAACAAAGTGGATATGACAAATTCAACTTTGCAATGGTCTTTTGTTTTCCTATTTCTCTACTTTTTACACTTAGAATGTAGAACCTATCATAAAACAACCCATTAGCTCTGGTAGATAAAAAGAACGAGATGAAAGAAAACATATGGAATCAAATGAAATAATCTTACAATGTGCTCACACTAAACCAATGGTTAAAAACTCTTATTCACTCATCTACTTTTAGCTTTGTATTAGTTTGCTTTTTCTACTTTTATTTATACTAATATCGTTCTTATACTTTCAAATCCATTTTTCTTTGGTTATTTTTTTGGTGAGAAGGTAGGATTGTCCTTAAATTATTCAATTACCTCCTTCATATCATGATCATGTCCGAAGACATATAATATTTATTTAGAAAACCAATACATACATAAAATATGTATTACCTATTTTTATTAGCTTTCTTCTTCTCCTCCTTCTTTTTCTTCTTCGTTTTCCTCCTCTCTCCACCACCAAACCACCATGGATGCCACCACTCCTAATCCACGGCATCAACTACGGTTAGTTCGAAAACCACTACTAAAGCACTATCGTTTCCTTTTTCTTCTCCCTTCCTTCGTTTTCTTGTTGATCTCCTTTATTATCTCATTTCCATTTATGGTATAATATAACCAACAAAATATCATGACCTTTCTTCCATTTCTTAATCGGACCACAACACTCGTAAGGGAGTCCATCTTCCTACACAAGGAATATAACCAATAATCTAAAAGGATATAAAAAAACAATAGCATGATTGATTTTGTTGAGTTTAATTGCAAAACCAAAAAAGTTAAGCTTTTCCTGGTAAGTGTTATTTTGTAACAAGAAATAGAATGATAGAAATGAGAATGACATTTTTATTTGTTTACTTTGTATGTGTTTGATTAAAAAAAATGAAATGGTACTTTAAACAAAAATTAAACTTAGTTTCATTTTTATATAGAAGGTGAGAATAAAATAAAAAAAGAATAGAAATGAGATTTTTTTCTTTTTCAAAATAATAATTTGTTATTTTTATTTATTGTGTATGAACTATTTGTACCACACCACCATCTTTGCCATAACCACTAGCACCCCTATTGATGGTGGAGATAAAAAAGAAAAAAGAAAAAGAAAATTCAAACAAAATATCATTATTGCTATGATTACGCCACTATTCCTCTACCACCACTTTTATTATACTACTACTACCACTAATCTTCTTACTTTACAACTCATATAGTGGTGAGATTAATTTTTTAAAATATATTATTATTTTTGCTATACAATTGGTTTATTATTATTACCATCACCATCTCATTCTCTTCTTCCACCTTAGTATTTAATATTATTATCACTACTATAATCATCTCTATTATTTTTACAAACATCATAGTTGATGAAACGATTTTTTTAATTGTAAATCTCATTCATCTTGAAAATTAGATATTAAAAATTTTAAAATTCATTCTGATTCTTAATTACTATTCAAAACACCATATTAAAATGAAAAAACCATTCGATTTCTTAATTTTCATTTCAATTCATACATTGCCATCGGACCTATGCACGCAACGACCCAACTTGCTTTATTTTTTTTAGTTTTTTCTTTTCTTTTTCATTAGTTATTATTTTTTCAGCATCAATTTTCTTCAAATAATTCATAGTGGTTATTTTTTGTATTTTCATACAATCTCACAAAAACAAATGAGTACTTTTTTTTGTGATTTTGACTTTTTTTGAAAACAGAAATTAGTATATAAAATAATCATGATTTAAAAAAATGATGATTCTTCATGCAATCCTATAAAAAATAATGATTAATCACTATTTTAAAAAAATAATAATAGAGGTTTGATAATGGATAATTAATCAATTTAAGATGCATAGTTTTTAAAAATTAATGATAATAACATTGAAACAAAATTGATATAGTGCCAATTTTTTTTCTTTCAAAAATACACCAACGTTGATTGTAAAGCAACATTCAAAAAAAGGAATAATTTAAATAATAAAGATTTGATAGTTAATACTTTATTATCTTTTAGTTTGTATTGATTTTTGACTGATTATGTTTCGTTTTAAAATTGATAATGATTATTCATTGTGTATTTAAAAAAGTTATAATTCAAAATTATGTTATTGCAAAAAAAAAAAAAAATACTATCAAGTGAAGAATAATAGGATTTTTTAATCAATACTTATGACTAAATTGATTAAAATTAGCATCCTACTAACATCGAGCATCGTTTTGTTATCTATTATTGCCTTCTAATTACTAATTATTGATTGAAAGTAAAATATAGATAACAAATCTATCCTTAGATTCTTATTTCTCCTAACAATTTATTTTATTTGAAAGGATTGATAAATACGATAATGAAAAGAATAGATGTATCAATTATGTATTAATTCAATTCAGTGGATATAGTAATCTATTTATAGTTTCATATTCATCCATTATATTTTCTTCAACACTAAATAAGCTAAGCCGACTAACCCTCTAAATGATAAGGGTGATAATTACGAATTAACAGTAACTTTATCTGTAGCTACACTTAATCAAAACTATTTATCATGCAGAAAGAAAAAAGAAAAAAAAATCATAGAAAACAATGTAGATGAGAGAGAGAGAGAGAGAGAGAGAGAGAGCCTAGTGAAGTGAAAATTAAAGATAAATAGAGGGGCATTCATGTCACTTCACACCATAGTTTATCCTTTTACCATGTTGGGCTTTTGACGGAAATTAATCCAATCCCCAAATTGAACAAACAAAACAAAACCAAAATAAATAAAAAAGAAAAAAAGAAAAAGAAAAAATAAAGCAAGAAAATTCAACTCTTCCTTCCTTCCTGTCTTTCTTTCTTCCTCGTCCAAACGAACTGAAAAACCAAACAAAACCAAACTGAATCATCAGATCAATCTCTGTCTGTTCTCTTTTCTTCTCTTTGTTATTATTAATATTTTTGATTTAATTATTAATTTTAATCTCTCGATCGATTTCTTCTTGGTCCTTCCTTCTTCGTCCTTCGTCGGTGTAAAAAAATTAAATTAAAAAAATAAAAATAAAGTAAAAGAAATTCGAATTTGTCGTGAGATTGGACGATCAATTAGCGAATTCGAATTCGAAGATTAAAGCTTTGATTTGCTAGCGATCTCTATACCTCTCCCTCGATTTCAGGTTGGTTAGGGTTTCGACTTTTTTATTTTCAAAAAAATCGATTCGATTCGATTGCATTCAATTGCCTAATTGTTCAATTGATTTAGGGTTTTGCATAGTTACACATTCAATTCGATTTCTATTCATTCAATTTCCATCTATAATTCTGCCCCGACCAACTACGACAACGATTACAATCATCATTACTTTTTTTTTTTTGAAAAATTAATTTAATCTTTGTTTCTTTTCCTTTAAAATTAATTCCATCAAATTCCCCTAATTTCAATTTCATATATTTTAAGTGATTAATCAATGTAGTGAAAGTAATGATTTTTCTTTTTAAAATTTTAGAGTAGTTCCCTTTTTTGATTGTTTGTTTGTTTGTTTGTTGCAGTTGGAGAGCATGAAAAGTAGTAGTAGTAGTAGTGAGTTATTGTTGTAGAATAATAAAAAGAAGAAGAAAAAGGAGGAGATGAATGTGCAAGCGCATTTTTCCGGGCAGATCTCTGGGCAGGTTCCCAATCAATTGCAGCCCCAACAAAATGGGAATCAACAGATGCAGGGTTTAGCCGCACCTAATGCTCCTCCTACTGGAGCTGGTGCTGTTTCTCATCCTATTAATGCGTACAGGGTTGAACCCGAGCTCCACAAAGCTCGGTTGTTTATGCAACAAAAAATGTAAGACTTTTACTTTCCGTGTTAGTTGAAAACTTGAGCTATTTCGGCATTATCTTAATTTGATTGCTATCGATATAACTGCCTGTGTCCGTTGTGTTTGCTATTTCTAGAAGCATCATTTTACACACCTCAGCTCTGTTTGGTAATGTGTTTTGGACTCAAAAAGCATCATATTTTGCAAAAGCAAAAGCACCTGCACCGGATTGCCAAACACACATTACATTGCCAAACACACACTACATATGGCTATCGAAATATAGAAAAGGATAATTTTAGTTTTTGATTCTTGTTACCATTTTACATTTTTGCCCTTATATCATTTTATATCTCCGTGACGGGAATATCGGAGCCCTCCATTACTGACCTTTTTCTTTCATATTTCCTATTCTTTCTAGATTTGCAATTATTGTGCAGCGGCAGTCTCAGCCGGTTGGCGATCCACAGAAAGAAAAGTTTAAGGATATCGCAAAACGCTTAGAGGAGGGTCTATTTAAAACAGCTCAGTCAAAGGTTTTTCTCCTCCAGCCCTTATTTACGCATGTGTATTTAAACTGCTATTTTTTGTCCCTGTTGTCGGATCTTGAAGGAGATATCATTTCATGCCACTTCTGGTAAGAAAGGGGATGAATTGATTACTGAAATCGTGTTTGACTGCTCAAAAAGACTGAATTTTTGTATCCTCAGAATAGCTTTAAATGTAAATTGCAAAGCTATTCTTTACAAATTTGCTGGATTTCATTTTCTTGATTGTGCTTCAGGTTTTTCTCTTTCTTTCAATTTACGCTGCAACGAAATCTTTGTTGTAGGATGACTATTTGAACATGAATACCCTAGAGAGTCGTCTGAGTAGTCTGCTAAAGCGCACCTCTGCAAATAACCACAATCAACGGCATCCTCATCTTGTTAATTCTTCGTCATCCATTGGTACCATGATACCAACTCCTGGTATGTCAAATAGTGGGAATTCAAATATGATGACTTCTTCTGTTGATACCATGATGATTACTTCCAGTGGAAGTGATAGCATAGTACCTACACCTGTCAACACAGGGAGCCTGTTGCCGTCTAGTGGCATGCATGGTGGTTCCTATGGTAGATCGGATGGTAATTTTAAGCTTTGCGGTTCCTTTAATGTTCCTTGTAATTATTGCTTAGTTTACTTTGTGACTGTATCACACAATCTATCCTTGCAGGAAATTTGTCTAATGGGTATCAGCAGTCGCCAGCCAATTTTTCCATTAGTTCTGGTGGAAATATGTCATCTATGGGTGTGCAAAGAATGGCAAGCCAAATGATTCCAACTCCCGGATTTAGCAATAACAACAATAACAACCAGTCTTACATGAATGTGGAATCTTCTAGTAATAATGGTGGTTTTTCGACTGCTGACTCTGCTATGGTATCACAGCCACAGCAGCCAAAGCAGTACATTGGCGGTCAGAACAGTCGCATACTGGCGAACCTTGGCAGCCAAATGGGTAGTAATATTAGGACTGGCTTGCAGCAGAAATCATATGGATTTGCTAATGGGGCCCTAAATGGGGGTATGGGGATGATGGGGAATAATTTACCGCTTGTTAACGAGTCTGGTTCTGAGGGCTATATGACTTCCACACCATATGTGAATTCACCTAAACCGTTGCCACAGCAGTTTGATCAACACCAGCGACAACAAATGCAAGGTAACCTTCCTCTCTCCACTTCATCCTCTCTTTGGAGTTTTATATTGTCATTGTGACTTGAGAGATTGTCATGGTTTTTTTTTTTTTTTTTTTGGGTGAAAACATCTTCTAATGGCTGATTAATCTCTTACCAGGTGATGGATATGGGATGAGTAATGCTGATTCTTTTGGATCTGGAAACATATATGGTGCTGTAACATCTGTTGGATCAATGATGAATGCTCAGTCTATGTCCAAAACTAACTCTTCTCTTGTAAATAATCAGTCGAATTTGCATGCCCCTCATCAAGCTGGACATATAAAGCCTCAATCACTTGATCAGTCTGAAAAGATGAATTTCCAGTCGTCACTTCAACAGCAGCAACTTCAGCAACATTCTCACCAACAGCAACAACTGCAGCAACATCCCCATCAATTTCAACAGCAGCAATTTGTTCAACAGCAACGTTTACAGAAGCACCAAAGTCAGCAGCACCAGCATCTGTTGAGCAATGATGCATTTGGTCAGTCTCAGCTCACATCTGATCCTAGCAGTCAAATGAAGCGCGAGCCTGGAATAGAGCACCATAATGATGTTTTGCACTCACAAACCTCAGACCACTTCCAAATATCTGAATCACAAAACCAATTCCAGCAAAATGTGGTTGGAGACCATTCTAGGAATGCACAAACTCTCCCTCATCCATCTGGACAGCAGGACATGTGCTCATCATTGACGCAAAATTCGCAGCAAATGCAGCAGATGTTGCATCCACAGCAGTTGGTTTCAGAGACTCAGAACAATTTTAATGGCCTTTCTGTTGGGACACAATCAGATTCGGCATTGCAGGGTCAATGGAATCCACAATCTCAGGACCGGACTTGCATACCAGGGAGCGTTTCACATGAGCAGCATGTCCAAGAGGATTTCCGCCAGAGAATATCTGGACAAGGTGAAGCTCAGCGTAATAATTTAGCATCAGAAGGATCCATTGTCAGCCAAACAGTACCTCCTAGAAGCACATCAGAGCCCCAAAATTCAAATGGTGTCACCTATAGGTCTGGAAATGCTAACCGTGACCGGCAATTTAGAAATCAACAGAAGTGGCTTTTGTTCTTGCGGCATGCCCGTCGATGTCCTGCCCCAGAAGGTCAATGTCCTGACCCTAACTGCACTACTGTCCAAAAATTGTTGAGGCACATGGACAGATGCAACTCCACTCCGTGTCCGTATCCCCGATGCCAGCACACCAGGATATTGATTCATCACCATAGGCAATGCAGAGATGCAGGCTGCCCTGTTTGTATTCCTGTTAGAAATTATCTAGAGGCACAAATAAAAATACAAATGAAGGCACGCACTCTTCCAGCCTCAGATTCTGGTTTGCCAAGCAAAGGTAGTGATACTGGAGACAATGCAGCCCGATTGATTTCAAGAACTCCATCAATTGCTGAAAGCTCTGTAGATCTACAACCTTCTCTAAAACGAATTAAGATAGAGCAATCTTCCCAAACTCTTCAACCTGAGAGTGAAGTGGCTGTCATATCAGCATCTGCAGTCAGCGATACTCATATACCCCAGGATGTCCAGCACCAAGATCACAAACATGGTGATAATTGTTTGCCAGTTAAGCCCGAGTACATGGAAGTGAAGTTGGAAGTACCTGCAAGTTCTAGACTAGGAAGTCCTAGTAATAGTGAGATGAAAAAGGATAACATGGATGATGTCAGCAGCCAAATGCCTGCAGATGAATCCATGGTACATGGTGAGCCTGCCAGTTTCACTAAGCAGGAGAGCATTAAAGTTGAGAAAGAAGCTGACCAACTTAAGCAAGAAAATCCTATGCAGCTTGCTGAAGCTGGAACCAAGTCTGGGAAGCCAAAAATAAAGGGGGTATCATTGACTGAACTGTTCACGCCTGAACAAGTGAGGGAGCATATTACAGGCCTCAGGCAGTGGGTTGGCCAGGTAAGCTTATGCATCTATTTTTTATTCTTCTCCTTGGTCCATTGGCTTTACTGTTTTCTGTCTGTTAGTTAAAAAATAATTGTGAAAATATTATCCTCCTCAATTTTCTCAAACGTCATCATTGAGATGATGTAAACAGGAAATAGGGCTTGTGCAGACAAGTTATGAAATTTCCGTTTAAGCATGAAGCTAGAAGTTACATTTACAATGCTATCAGTATTTTCCCGCTATATTTTATGATGTATTTAAAATATTCAGACCTTTAACCTGTCCTCAGTTTTGTCAATGTGAACTGTGCTATTTAGGAATATTTGGTTCTGAATGCTGTCGAGATCTTAGTTATGCTTGTGTGTATGTTCATAGTTAATGAGTCTAAGCTCTCTGTATTTACATAATGTGCAGGCTTTTTAAATTTCATGTTCGCTGCTTCATGTGCTACTAACCTTCTGCTCTACCCACAAGCTTTTTGTGACAACACATTTGATGTAACCTGCTGGCTTTTTTGCTATTAGTAATGCGGTTCTCTTTTGCATGTTCTGGGGGTTAAAATTACCACCTTTTCTGAGCAAATATATTGGTTGGAGGATAATAGTTTTTGTTTTTTCACTTTGCTTTGTACAGAGTAAGGCTAAGGCAGAAAAGAACCAAGCAATGGAGCATGCAATGAGTGAGAACTCTTGTCAATTGTGTGCAGTTGAAAAGCTTACTTTTGAACCACCACCAATATACTGTACACCCTGTGGTGCTCGTATTAAACGGAATGCAATGTATTATACCCTGGGAGCTGGTGATACACGGCACTATTTCTGTATTCCATGCTATAATGAGGCTCGTGGGGACACTATTCTTGCTGATGGGACTGCTATTCCAAAGGCTAAACTTGAGAAGAAGAAAAATGACGAGGAGACTGAAGAATGGGTGCGTTTATCTGTTGTCTTGTATCTGTTCTGCTCCATGGCAGTCTCAAATAATTGAACTTACAATTTACTCTTTGATTCTTGCGCAGTGGGTTCAATGTGACAAATGTGAAGCTTGGCAACACCAAATTTGTGCATTATTTAATGGTAGAAGGAATGATGGTGGGCAAGCTGAATATACTTGTCCTAATTGCTACATAACAGAGGTTGAAAGAGGAGAGAGAAAGCCCTTACCACAAAGTGCGGTTCTGGGGGCTAAAGATCTGCCTAGAACAATACTCAGTGATCATATAGAGCAGAGATTGTTTAGGAGACTGAAGCAGGAAAGACTGGAGAGGGCCAGGGTGCAAGGGAAAAGTTTTGATGATGTGAGTTACATATAATCCAGTGGCCTGTGTTATTTCTTCTAGTAGTTGATTTTTAAAATCCAGAGTTTATTTCATACTGCTAACATATGGGCTAGTAATGATGAAAACATGCTTGCATTGCATATTATATTGAAAGAAGTTTAACTCATATAAGTATATGCTTATGAAAATTGACATGGTTTAGACTTTGTTTCTGATAAAAAAAGGAAAAGAAAGAAGAAAGAAAGAGCAAGATTGTTATACCAAGAGTAGTAGAACAAAGAGAATCTTGATTTTGGTGCATCTATTTCATCAAATTTCTATTTGAGTTCCTATGCTTTAATTATTTTTTTATATGAATTCCTATAATGACCATTGATTCCTGCACTCTTAAAAATGACCAATCAAGTTTTTGTTCTGAGAATATCCTTTTTCAAGAGTATGTAGACACTGCAACATTGAATGTGTTTTTGGAATCAACTTACTGGATTGATTAAACTTTTAATAATATAGGAACTTAACATTCAAAAAATCGATAAGAATTCTAATGGAAATTTTAACAAAGTATAGTCGCCGAGTTTGTGATTTTCTCTATAAAAAAATCTCCTCTTCCAGGACTAGCTAGTACTGTGGGAAATATGATTTGAAATTATTTGGCGATTGACTACATGATTCTTTTTTTTTTACATTGAAACAAGTTTCTATGTAGCTGCTGTCAATATTAAGTTGTAAGCGCAATTAGTTGCCGGAATACCATTTGGTTGTTTCAATGGCTGTGCTGTTTCTCTGATCCTGTTGTAATTACATTTAGTTGCCAGAAATTCTTGCTCTTCATTTGAAACTTTATCTCCAAACATTTTAGACAATTGTTCCCCACAATGGTACATTTTTAGCAGTTAAATAATTCACCCCTCTGGTAAACTTCTACTTCTGCTTCTTTGAAGACTGAGTTTTGTCCTAAATGCTTGAAAATTAAACCATCAATGCGTGGTAATTGGCGCAATCTAATTACTTTTACCTATCTGTATCTTAGGTTCCAGGAGCAGAATCACTTGTAGTTCGAGTTGTTTCATCTGTTGACAAAAAGTTGGAAGTGAAGCAGCGTTTTCTTGAGATATTTCGGGAGGAGAATTATCCAACGGAATTCCCGTATAAGTCTAAGGTTTGCAGGATACCATGTTTGATTTATATGTATGCAAACATCAACTACAGCCAAGCATTGCGTGCTATTATTGCAGAAATTATTCACTGAGAGTTTTTGTTTCAGGTCGTTTTACTGTTTCAGAAGATTGAAGGTGTTGAGGTATGCCTATTTGGCATGTATGTTCAAGAATTTGGATCAGAAGCTCACTATCCAAATCAGCGTCGTGTCTATCTTTCTTATCTGGATTCTGTGAAGTACTTCAGACCTGAGATTAAAGCAGTGACTGGAGAGGCTCTCCGTACATTTGTTTACCATGAAATTTTGGTTAGTTTCAATTACTTATTTATCTTCTCTTCAAATGATCTGAGGATATAAACAATTCATTTGGTTAGGAATCGTAATTGGAGTTTTTAGCCATTATACCTGTTTTATTCTGCAGATTGGATACCTTGATTACTGCAAGAAAAGGGGTTTTACAAGCTGCTATATATGGGCTTGCCCTCCATTAAAGGGTGAGGATTATATCTTGTATTGCCATCCAGAAATCCAGAAAACGCCAAAATCTGACAAACTCCGAGAATGGTGAGCAAAATAACTTCTAAAGAGAGGCTCTGTAGGTTATTTTACCTTTTTTTTCTCACAATTTTTGGTGTGCTCAACTGAATGTCTATTTATTTCCAGGTATTTAGCAATGTTACGAAAAGCTGCCAAGGAAAATGTTGTTGTTGACCTCACTAATTTGTATGACCATTTCTTCATATCTACTGGTGAATGCAAGGCAAAGGTCACAGCAGCTAGGCTGCCCTACTTTGATGGGGATTATTGGCCTGGTGCAGCTGAAGATTTAATCTATCAACTTAATCAAGACGAAGATGGGAGAAAACAAAATAAGAAGGGATCTACCAAAAAGACCATTACAAAAAGGGCTCTAAAAGCATCTGGCCAGGCAGATCTTTCTGGTAACGCATCAAAGGATCTGCTACTGATGCATAAAGTAATTCCTATACCCTATTTCTTACAGCTTAATATCGCTTCCCAATCAACTGCTGTTTATCATAATGTTATTGTACGTGTTGCTATGCAATTCTTGCTACGTGTCCTTATATTAAGCAATTATAATTGATTTTCTTTTTACAAAACTCTCTTTTCAGCTTGGTGAGACAATTTGCCCTATGAAGGAAGACTTTATCATGGTTCACTTGCAGCATTGCTGTTCCCATTGTTGTATCCTAATGGTATCGGGCACCCGTTGGGTTTGCAACCAGTGCAAAAACTTTCAGATTTGTGATAAGTAAGAATCTTCAATCTTTACCTTCATTACTCTCTGGTGGGATTTTTTTGTAAAATTATCAACGAACTATTATAACTTTAACATTTTTATTTGTGTAACAGTAAACAGCAATCTATTGTCACTACTTAAATGAATAAATGCAGAATTAGAGTAGCATAGTTTCCTTAGAAGCTCTATATATGTATACAACCTACCATGAAGGAAATTAGGGGTCTAGGGTTTTCAATTCAAGAGCTAGGGGTCTACTCTGGTTTCAATCGATGGCTCTTGAAAAAGTGCTTTACATTTCCTAATTATATGTTCTTTTTGTGATTTTAAAGTTTTTGATTTCCGTGCTTGTATTTCCTAAGGTGTTATGAAGTAGAACAGAAACGTGAAGAAAGAGAGCGACATCCCATCAACCAAAGGGAAAAACATGCATTCTATCCTGTAAGTTGCTTGGCCCTAGAACACTTCTATTCAATCTATATTAAAAGGTCCTTATTTTGAAATCCAGTTTGGGTGCTGAGTAGAAGCCTTTTTCCTTTTCTTTAACTATGAAATAACACTGCTAAATTCTTCAGGTTGAAATCGCTGATGTACCTGCTGACACAAAGGATAAAGATGAAATTCTTGAGAGTGAATTTTTTGACACAAGACAGGCATTTTTGAGTCTTTGTCAAGGAAACCATTATCAATATGACACTTTACGCCGGGCTAAACACTCCTCAATGATGGTCCTTTACCATCTCCATAATCCAACTGCTCCTGCATTTGTGACAACATGCAATATATGTCATCTTGACATCGAAACTGGTCAAGGCTGGCGTTGTGAGGTTTGCCCTGATTATGATGTATGCAATTCTTGTTATCAAAAGGATGAGGGTCTGGATCATCCTCATAAGTTGACAAATCATCCATCCCTGGCTGAGCGTGATGCACAGAACAAGGAAGCTAGGCAATTGAGGGTTCTGCAGGTATAATTCATTTTTTCTGTTCTTTATACTTTTTTACTCTTATCTTGAAAATATAATTGCATTTCTTGGTAAATCTTGCTGCACTTCATTGTTTGTTAATTTGCTACATATGAAAACCTGTGAACTGGTTGCTTTACATAATTATATGGAACAAGCAATGGAAGATGCTGTGAAGTTTTTGGCATTTTCACATACCTATTTATAAATGATTGCAATTTCTCTACTCTTAAAAAATTTTCTAGACTTCCCATAGCCCACCAAATGGTCTGTATTATTTACGAAGTTATGGCTACGTTTTTGGTTCAGAACCAAAACAATCTAAAGAAATAAAGTTTCTGACCTCATCTTTGTTATGAGTGCTTTCTCGCACAAATCGTTCTGTGGAAATACACAAAAAGTACTGGTATAGATAATTCCTCAATGTTTAAGAATGAACATTAGGATGACTATTGTGAAACTTGACAATTTTAGCACTCCATTTTACCATCAGGATATGTTCTGAGTCATTTTTCTGTTCAAAATTTCATGTCAGATAGGGCCTAACGTAATCGTTTACTTTACATTGCAGCTAAGGAAGATGCTTGATCTTCTGGTGCATGCATCCCAATGCCGTTCTCCGCTTTGCCAATATCCTAATTGTCGCAAGGTGAAAGGTCTTTTCCGGCATGGGATACAATGCAAAACTCGTGCATCTGGAGGCTGTGTTCTGTGTAAAAAGATGTGGTATCTTCTTCAACTTCATGCTCGTGCATGCAAAGAATCAGAATGCCATGTTCCGCGCTGCAGGTTTATGCATCAACCTTATCTTAAAATCTCCAACTTCCTTGGGGCAATATAATATTTTAAATTCTCATAAGTGTATGCATGTGTGTTTGTCCAGGGATTTGAAAGAACATTTGAGGAGGCTCCAGCAGCAGTCTGATTCCCGACGAAGGGCTGCTGTGATGGAGATGATGAGGCAGAGAGCTGCCGAGGTTGCTGGCAATTCTGTGTAACCCGTTTGTAAATAATATGGTTGTTTTTGGAGAGAAGGGGACAATAGATATTTCTGCTGCTCTTGAGGATGCCGCACTGCTTGAAATGAGGCAGTGGCAGAAAAATTCTGATAGTAGGTGGTTGGTTCAGAAGATGAAAAATATACAATAGTACAACAGATTGGTTTACCATCAGAGCTGTTAGGGAATGATTCTTTTATTCATGCTTGGATCTCTTTGACTTTCCTTTCCCTGTGAAGAAAAGCAAGTGAAACTCATTGCCCGAAAGTTTTCCCAGTACGGCGGCAGCAGCAGCAGCAGCAGCTAACTGTTTCCCTGAGTCAGAATATATAGGAAGGAGTACTGATGTGATGTGTTAGTCAGTCGCCTGAAGTGGTGATTCTTTGATTTTAAAATCTTGTATTTTGTTTAATGCCATTCTTGGTGGCTAGTGTACTATATAAATGTTCTAATCTGTTTAAGATGCTTCTTTTCTTACAAAGGAATATGCATTGGGAATGGGAGGAGATTAGTTTCAAAATCCCCCTTTCTTCTTTTTAGTTTTACCTATTTATCCCTCGTCTTCCCTCTCACAGTTCAGATGTCTGACCATTCTTGGTGACTATATAAAGATTGAAGAAATAAGTCGAATTCTTGCCTTTTGAAATCTTTTGTTTCAAACTTTCTGTTATTGTAAATTAAGAAATCTTGAAAAGAGGATTTGAAATTAGAAATTTTGAAAAATACAAAGTTTCAATCAAGCCAAAATAAGTAGAGGATCTCAATTAAGAAAATTCAAAAAGTTCAAAAATCAAATACAAGAAAAATCTATGGGAATGAAAGTTTTATTCTCACTTGATAGCAGTTTGCTTGAAAGGAATGAAGTGAAAATAAGAATAAAAATTACATATAGCTTCATTTTCATATAAAAGGTGGACATAAAAACAAGAAATGAGAATATTTTTTTTTTTCAAAATGATAATATTTTTTTATTTATTTATTGTGTATTAAATACTTTGACCACCACCACCACCATTACAAGCACCATAACAATCACCACCACCACCACCACCACCATAGCCACGACCACAACCACTCGCAATCTTTATTATTTTTATAATTATTATAGTTGACAAAAAAAAATTATCATTATTCTTGTTCGTATAAAAAACCAAATATGAAAAAAAAATTAAATTTCATTCCGATTCCACCAAAATCAACATCACGACCACCACAATCACCATCACCATAACCATTACGATGACCACAACCATAACAACCATTACCTCGATTATTTTTACAATTATTATAGTTGATGAAATTATTTTTTAATTATTATTCTTGTTCGTATAAAAAATCGGATATTAAAAAATTTAAATTTCATTTTGATTCTTTATTAGTATTACAAATATAGTGTGTGAATGTAAATGTCATTTCAATTCTTGTCTTCCATTCTTAACCTTTCAATTCGGTAACTAAACGATATTTTAGAAAGAAAAGAATGGAAAGTTGAGGAGATGAAGAAGTATGCATGAGAAGAGTTATCGAGGTTTGTATGAATAATTTTCACTTAAATTATATTTTTCTTTATTTCACAATTATATATATATATATTTGCACAAGTAAAATTGGTTAATAAAAATATTTTATTGTTAAAAGAAACATGTCCAAAATAAGGGCAAGTAACTTATAATTTTTCAAGAGAAAGCATTTTTACAATACCGATTGTCATAGCATATGATCAATTTGTTTATAAAAATTGATCATGTAATTTATTTAATTTTATTATTCAATAAGCTATTTTATTATTGTTATTATTATTATTTAGTTTTGGTATGGATTCAAACTATACATTAAATGGATTGGACTAACGTTGAGCTTTGCTCAACCAAAAGCTTGGGCACATATATTTTAGCAGAGCCAGTGTTTCATACTTTATCTTTGAGATACATTAAGAATATTAGCTTGGTGGGTTGAGAGTAAGGTTTGGTAAATGAATGCTAAATTACTACTTCGTTTAGCATTTGCTTACAAGTTAAAGCATTTTAGTCCAAAAAAAAATTAGGTTTCTTCAACTCAAATCTCACAGTGCAATTATAGATGATGTGGCACAATTCCAATGGTTAAGAATTATTCTCATTTCACTATAAATACAAATGTCATTGTCAAAAAAATTTTAATTTTCTTTATCTTTAACAAAAATATCTAAATTATCTATCTCAAAGTTTCTTTCATTTTGACATCAGATATCATTTAAAATTTGACATATTTAGATTTTAATCACTCTCTATGTTTGAATTTTGATCACCTACTTACCTACTACTTAACTTTTGTCGTGCTAGCACTACCTATTCTTTCTCTTACACGCCTCAATACTTGCATTTGTTTTATTGTTATATCGACCGATCATTAGGATGAGTTCAGAGGGCTATTGCTGGCCTGGACAACTGGTATTAAATGCTGGTTAGGGCAACCAACAATTAACGGTTTAAGTAACATCATAATTTGCTGGTCTGTGCAATCAACGTGATGCTGGCCAAGCGCTGGTCAGCCTTTCTTTTTCGTGACAAAAAAAGAAGAAGAAAAAACATGGAAAACTTGCCTCTTATTTTCTTCTTATGATGTGGATAAGAGAGCCATGGTAGCTGTCTAGATATCTTGTAATGGAGACTTACGGTTTTGTTTGCCCTCAAATTAAAGGTCTTTGAAGAAAACAGGTATATAAAGTGCAGGGCTTTTTTTTTTTTTCAGTGCAAAAATTTCTTGACTATCCTTACTAAGTCCTTCTGGATGTAAGAAAATCCAAGATAGGACTACGAGTAATTGAAAAGGTCTCTGGACTTTAGAGGAATCTTCATCGCTTCATTGAAATTTTGTTGAATCTTCTTACAAGCAAATCTAACTAATGAATATCAGTTTAAGCTACAAAAGCAAATTTTGTTGCTTTTATACATTTCGTCTCAGCAACTTTACTTCCAGATTTCAAGAAGAAAAGGAAAAAAACCCCAAGTCCCAATCATCAAAAATTGATCTTGCTCTTTTAATCGACGTGCCACCATGCATGGTCTTTGTCTCCTGTCTTACTTTAAATCCAAAAACAACATGTCTCCGTGGCCAAACTCTCAATTTCATACGTCGCTTATGACTTCTCATCCTGGAAAGTGCTAGTGTCAAATCCAGTCCCGGCATTGATCCATCATCACCATCAAGATATCATAAACCTCTGATATCATATAATTAACAAATATTTAAGGTTCTTAGTTTTGTATCTTTAAAAATTATTAATTGCTTTTTTGAAATACAGATGAGTTTAGTGTGCTGTGGGACTTATAATGCCATGTGTGAATCATTCATATGTTAGGTCATACAGTTACGTATTGCGTTAGATTAGAAATAAACGATATCATAACATACGTTCTCAAGGAAAAGGAAAACTAAACGAAGAGTATAGAGTTTTACTTAAAAAATAAAAAATAAAAAAATTAAAGAGTAAAAGGCCTATACATGAAGAAAATTCATAACAAAACGAAGTATTCTTTTATGTTTATGCACAATTAAATGAATGAAAATTTGTAATAAATTTTTTCTATGCTAGATTTTGCATTAACTAAGTCTAAGTTTACTACTTTCTAAACAAAATTAGCTATCACACCTCATTTTTTATTAATTCTAAAGTTAAAACTTTTTAAGCCTAGCAGCTTATGTTTAGTGCCACACAAATATAGAGAAAATAATTTTTTTTAATTTTTAAATTATTCAAAACCTAAAAACTCAGACTAATTCTTCGATATTTTATCGGACATAAAACGAATATATATATAAACTCAAATTAGAAACCACTTCCATAAATAATTATAATCTTATTCGGTCCAAACCAATTTACTTGAATAAAAGAAGTTTTTAAAAGTAAGAGTCAAACTTCTGAACTAATAAGCTAAAAAAAATCTCATCGCTTTTCCTGTAAGCTTTTGAGGTTTTTACCTTTCTTTTAAGCTTTTCAATTAAATATTCTCTCCCGTTTATCTTAAAATGAGTTTAGAGATTTCTTGAAACTAACTATGTAAAAAGCTACGTAAAAAGCACTTAAAGAGTTGACTTATTGATGAGAGGAAATAATTTTTTTTTCCCTGTCATGTCTCCACCTTGGCTGCCACCTTCTTCTTCTTCTTCATCCTCTCTCCTCCTCCGCCAGATGAAACTAACTATACTCCGTAGCACATATCAACCAAAAATTCCTGCAAGAACAAAACGCACATCACAATTATTTTTGTAGCAGATTTCTTGAAAAGTTTAAGAGCCTTGCTTTTTCTTGAAGCCCTCTCCTAGAACAACCTCCCTTGGAGGTCGTTGATCTCCATTGAAATCCTCAAGAGCCAAGCTCTACAGCTTCTTCGTCCAACACAACCACTCATCACCACCACCACAAGGTGCTGACTCTCACAATCCCAATCAGCAACCAATCTACAGCTGCGGCTGCCCACAAATCCAACTACCACCGCCCATAGCCACCCACAAACCCAACCATAAATAGATCTGAAACCACCACCACTCCCAAACCCAACTATCGCCACTTTGTACAGAGTAAGGCAAAGGCAGAAAGTAACCAAGCAATGGAGCATTCAATGAGTGAGAAATCTTGTCAATTGTGTGCAGTTGGAAAGCTTACTTTTGAACCGCCACCAATATACTGTACACCCTGTGGTGCTCGCGTTAAGCGGAATGCAATGTATTATACCATGGGAACTGGTGATACACGGCACTATTTCTGTATTCCATGCTATAAGGAGGCTAGTGGGGACACCATTGTTGCTGATGGGACTGCTATTTCAAAGGCAAGACTCGAGAAGAAGAAAAATGACGAGGAGACTGAAGAAAGGGTGCGTTTATCTGTTGTGTTGTATCTGTTTTTCTGCTACATAGCAGTCTCAAATTATTGGTTTCACAATTTACTCTTGGATTCTTGTGCAGTGGGTTCAATGTGACAAATGTGAAGCTTGGCAACACCAAATTTGTGCATTATTTAATGGCACAAAGAATGATGGTGGGCAAGCTAAATATACTTGCTCTAATTGCTTCATAACGGAGGTTGAAAGAGGAGAACGCAAGACCTTACCGCAAAGCGTTCTGGGGGCTAAAGACCTGCCTAGAACAATACTCAGTGATCATATCGAGCAGAGGCTGTTTAGGAAACTGAAGCAGGAAAGACAGGAGAGGGCCAGGATGCAAGGGAAAAGTTTTGATGATGTGAGTTACATATCATGCTGTGGGCTGTGTTATTTCTTCTTGTAGTTGATTTTTAATTAAAATCCAGAGCTTATTATACACTGCTCACGTGGGGGCTAGTAATGATGAAAATATGCTTGCAGTGCATGTTATATTGAAAGAAGTTTAACTCATATAAGTATATGCTCATGAAATTGACATGGTTGAGGCTTTGTTTCTGATTTTTTTTTTTTAAAAAAAGAGACAAAATTGTTACACCAAGAGTAGTAGAACTAAGATAATCTTGATTTTGGTTGAGACTTTGTTTCCTATGCCGCCTCAAATGTGTTTTTGGAATAAATTTACTGGATTGATCAAACTTTTAATGTATAGGAACTTAGCATAGAAAAAAGCGAAGTATAAGAATTCTAATAGAAATTTTAACAAAGCTGATGTCATTATTAAGTTGTAAGTACAATTAGTTGCCAGAATACCATTTGGTTGTCTCAACGGCTGTGCTGTGTCTCTGATCCTGTTGTAGGTACATTTAGTTGCCAGAAATTATCTCTTCTTTGAACCTTTATCTCCAGACATTATAGATGATTGATCTCCATAACAGTATGTTTTTGGCAGCTAAATAATTCACCCCTCTGGTAAACTTCTACTTTTGTTTCTTCGAAAACTATGAGTTTGTCCTAAGTGCATGAAAATTAGACCATCAATGCGTGGTAATTGGCACAATCTAACTTCTTTTACCAATCTGCATCTTAGGTTCCAGGAGCAGAATAACTTGTAGTTCGAGTTGTTTCATCCGTCGACAAAAAGTTGGAAGTGAAGCAGCGTTTTCTTGAGATATTTCGGGAGGAGAATTATCCAACTGAATTCCCATATAAGTCTAAGGTTTGCCGGATACCATGTTTGATTTGTATGAATGCAAACATCAGCTACAGACAAGCATTGGTGCTAGTGTTGCAGAAATTATTCACTGAAAAATTTTCTTTCAGGTTGTTTTACTGTTTCAGAATATTGAAGGTGTTGAGGTATGCCTATTTGGCATGTATGTTCAAGAATTCGGATCAGAAGCTCACTTTCCAAATCAGCGTCGTGTCTATCTCTCTTATTTGGATTCTGTGAATTACTTCAGACCTGAGATTAAAGCAGTGACTGGAGAGGCTCTATGTACATTTGTTTACCATGAAATTTTGGTTAGTTTCAATTACTTATTTATCTTCTTTTTAAATGATCGGAGGATACAAACAATTCATTTGGTTAAGAATTGTAATTGGAGTTTTTAGCCACGATACCTGTTTTATTTTTCAGATTGGATACATTGAATACTGCAAGAAAAGGGGTTTTACAAGCTGCTATATATGGGCTTGCCCTCCATTAAAGGGTGAGGAGAATATATTGTATTGCCATCCAGAAATCCAGAAAATGCCAAAATCTGATAAACACCGGGAATGGTGAGCAAAATAACTTCTAAAGAGTTACTCTGTAGGTTGTTTTACTGTTTTTCTCTCTGAACTTTTAGAGTGCTTCACTGAATGTCTATTTCTTTCCAGGTATTTAGTGATGTTACGAAAAGCTGCCAAGGAAAATGTTGTTGTTGACCTCACTAATTTGTATGACCATTTCTTCATATCTACTGTTGAATGCAAGGCAAAGGTCACAGCAGCTAGGCTGCCCTACTTTGAAGGGGATTATTGGCCTGGTGCTGCTGAGGATTTAATCCATCAACTTGATCAAGAAGAAGATGGGAGAAAACAAAAAAAGAAGGGATCTACCAAAAAGACCATAACAAAAAGGGCTCTAAAAGCATCTGGCCAGGCAGATCTTTCTGGTAACGCATCAAAGGATCTGCGACTGATGCTTAAAGTAATTCCTATCCCCTATTTCTTACTGCTTAATATCGTTTGCCAATCAACTTCTCTTTATCATAATGTTATTTTATGTGTTACTGTGCAATTCCTGCTAGCAGACACTTGGAGCTTGTTATGGTGTCCTTATATTAAACGATTATAATTGATTTTCTTTTTACAAAACTCTCTCTCTCTCTCCAGCTTGGTGAGACGATTTGCCCTATGAAGGAGGACTTTATCATGGTTCACTTGCAGCATTGCTGTTCCCATTGTTGTATTCTAATGGTATCAGGCATCTGCTGGGTTTGCAACCAGTGCAAAGACTTTCAGATTTGTGATAAGTAAGAATCTTCAATCTTTACCTGCATTACTGTCTGGTGGAATTTTTATGTAAAATTATTCATGAACTACCCTTAACATTTTTATTTGTGTAACAGTGAGCAGCGATCTACTGTAACTACTTAAATGAATAAATGCAGAATTAGAGTAGCATAATTTGCTTATAAGCTCTACATATGTATACAAGCTATTTAAGGGCTTAGTAAACGACCATTCTTCAGAAGGTTGTGCTTTTCTTCGGGTTACTACTTACCATGAAGGAAATTAGAGGTCCAGGTTTTTCAGTTCAAGTGCTAGGGGGTCTACTCTGGTTTCAATTGATGGCTCTTGAAAAACTGCTTTATATTTCCTAATGATATGTTCTTTTAGTGATTTTAAAGCTTTTGATTTCTGTGCTTGTATTTCCTAAGGTGTTATGAAGTAGAACAGAAATGTGAAGAAAGAGAGCAACATCCCATCAAACTAAGAGAAAAACATGCGTTCTATCCTGTAAGTTGCTTGGCCCTATAAACACTTTTAATCTCTCTATATTAAAAGGTCCTTATTTTGAAATCCAGTTTGGGTGCTGAGTTTCTGCCTTTTCCTTTTCTTTAACTATGAATAACACTGCTAAATTCTGCAGGTTGAAATTGCTGATGTACCTGCTGACACAAAGGATAAAGATGAAATTCGTGAGAGTGAATTTTTTGACACAAGACAGGCTTTTTTGAATCTTTGTCAAGAAAGCTATTATCAATTTGACACTTTACGCCGGGCTAAACATTCCTCAATGATGGTCCTTTACCATCTCCATAATCCAACTGCTCTTGCACTCATGACAACATGCAATATATGTCATCTTGACGTCGAAACTGGTCAAGGCTGGCGTTGTGAGGTTTGCCCTTATTATGATGTATGCAATTCTTGTTATCAAAAGGATGGGGGTATGGATCATCCTCATAAGTTGACAAATCATCCATGCCTTGCCGAGCGTGATGTGCAGAACAAGGAAGCTAGGCAATTGAGGGCTGTGCAGGTACAATACTTTTTTTCTTTTCTTTATACTTTTGACTGTTATCTTGAAAAGATATTGCCTGATTGTCATGTATGCAATTCTTGTTATCAAAAGGACGGGGGTATGAATCATCCTCATAAGTTGACAAATCATCCATCCTAGCTGAGCACGATGCGCAGAACAAGGAAGCTAGGCAGTCGAGGGTTGTGCAGGTATTATACATTTTTCCTGTTCTTTAGACTTTTGATTGTTATCTTGAAAATATAATTGCGTTGATTGTGATGTATGCTATTCTTGTTATCAAAAGTATGGGGGTATGGTTCATCCTCATAAGTTGACAAATCATCTGTCCCAGGCTGAGCGCAATGCACAGAACAAGGAAGCTAGGAAATCATGGTTTCTGAAGGTACAATATAACATTTTCTGTTCTTTATACTTTCGACTCTTATCTTGAAAATATAATTGCATGTTCTTAGTAAATCTTGCCACACTACATTGTTTGTTGATTTGCTACATATGAAGACCTGTGTACCAGGAAGATACTGTGAAATGTTTTTGCATTTTCACGTACCTATTTATAAGTGATAGCAATTTCTCTCCTCTTAATAAATTCTGTAGAGTTCCCTTACCGCATCAAATGGTCTATATCATTCACAAAGTTACTGCTACTTGTGGTTGGTTCCCAACCAAAAGAACCTACACAAAGAAAGTTTCTGACCTCATCTGTGTTATGAGTGTTTTCTTGCGCCAATTGTTCTGCAGAAATATAAAAGAAGTTATGGTATTGATAATTCCTCAATGTTTAAGAATGAATTTTAGGATGACTATTGCGAAACTTGACTATCTAACACTCCATTTTACCATCAGCATATGAACCGAGTCATTTTTCTGGTCAAAATTTCATGTCATAAGGGTCTAATCTAATGTAATTGTTTATTTGACATGGCAGCGAAGGGAAATGCTTGATCTTGTGGTGCATGCATCACAATGCCGTTATACCCTTTGCAAATACTCTTCTTGCCGTAAGATGAAAGGTGTTTTCCAGCATGGGATGCTATGCAAAACTCGTGCATCTGGAGGCTGTATTCTGTGTAAAAAGATGTGGTATCTCCTTCAACTTCATGCTCGTTCATGCAAAGAATCAGAATGCTATGTTCCACACTGCAGGTTTATGCATCAATCTTATCTTCAAATCTTCAACTTCCTTGGGGCAATATTATATGGTAAATTCTCATAAATGTATGCATGTGTGTTTGTCCAGGGATTTGAGAGCATTTTTGTGTAGACATCATCAGCAGTCGGATTCACGACGAAGGGCTGCTGTGATCAAGATGATGAGGCAGAGAGCTGCCAAGATTGCTGGCAATTCTGGGTAACCTGTTTGTGTATAATATGGTTGTTTTTGGAGAAAAGGGGACAATAGATGTGTGGTGTTCGGAGGGTGTCACACTGCTTGAAGTGAGGCAGCGACATAAAATTTCCGATAATAGGTGGTTGGTTCAGAAGGGGAGAAATATACAATAGTACAACACATTGGTTTATCATCACAGCTGTTAGGGAAAGATTCTTTTATTCATGCTTGGATGTCTTGACTTTCCTTTACCCTGAGAAGAAAAGCAAGTGAAACTCATTGCACGATAAGAAAAGTCACAGTTAGCAACGGGTTTTTCCATCACTAATAAGGATTTAGCGATGGCAGAAAAATATTCGTTGCTGTTTTAGTGATGGTTTTTTTGTCGCTAAAAGGATATATTCTATCTGTAAATTGGTTGTCCAAACTGTCGTATCAAATGCCGCTAGACCATCTCAAATTCCGTCATTGATTAACTATTGATATTCTATCACTAGTATATGAAGCTAATAGAGTTGTCTTTATTCTATTGCTATTTTCGTCGTTAAGTTTTAACGCTAAACCATCACTAAGCTTTTCAATTATTTTTTAAATTAATAATATTTTTGTTTGTTTTTAAATTTGTGATATTCTCGATACTAATTAACAATTAGATCAAATAACGTATTATTAAAATTTAAATATTATATTTAAATATTATAGATTAAATTTAAATTAATATTAACAAAAAAGATTCAGTAGTACGAAATAAAGAAAAGAAAAAACAAATAAAAAAAATTAAATGTCATTCATGATCGTTATCCCGATCATCTAATCCCCTTTCCTTCTCTTAGGGCTCGATGGGAGGGACGGTGGAGTCTTGATTGGTGGATGGATCTTTAGGCAACTCAAATGTTTGCACTAGCTTAGTCAATATCGAGACAAGCGATTCATATTGAGTATTCAACCTATGTTAACTTTATAAGTGTTTGCCAAACATTTACCGATAAAAGCTTTCGAAATACAATTAGAATTAACCTCCGTATAAAGACGTGATAGTCATGATTTCTCATCACATAAAGTTTTTCATTTTACATATCAATGCATCTCGTCTAGGTTGGAGACATATTCGTCGTGAAAACTAAGCTATTTGATCTATTCAAGTAATGTGGTCTATTGTTTGGAAATGATAAAAGCGAACTTTAGGGTACTTCCTAGATACATCATCCCTTGTTAATTCCGACCTTTTACAAAAAAGTTTTAAGTCTTTCTTGGACTTAGCATTGTCTTTCGTCTTACTTGGCATATTCATGATTGTGTTAAAACATTATCAAATATATTTTTTCTTAATATGCATGGCATCTAAATTGTGCTAACCGAAATCAGTACTCTAGTGAGGTAAATCTAAAAAAATACTCGTTTTCTCTATCCATACATCTAAGAGATTCTCGTCGTTATGATCATTTGCACCGACTTCGTCACCTTTAACAACCTCAATGTTCTACGAAATGTAACATCTCTCGCCCTAGATCGAATTAGAGGAGAGCTAGATCTCATAACCTTTTTTTACGAGTGAATACTTTCTTGTTTCTTCGTATGGATGATCATGAGGAAGAAACTTTCGATGACTATCAAACCACAAGGTCTTCATTTCATTAAGAAGGGAGAAATCATCCGAATTTTTCATACAATAAGGACAAGCTTGTTTTCTTACGGTACTCTAATTAGATAACATTGAATATGCGAGAAAAGTCATTGATAATCCATATAATTGCAGCTCAATAAAATTTTTTGCTTACAATAGACATCGTATGTCACCGCACTCACTTCTCATAAATAAATAAGCTCAAAAATCAAAAGTCGCAAGTAGACATCTAACTTATGCTTCGGATTTGTCGGACGTAAAACAATCAATGTTAGGAATATATATTTCTCCTTCATACACATCCATGGTGGCAAATTATAAGAAATTATAATTATCGGCCATGAAGAATATTGTATATTAGATTGAACAAATGGCTAAAATCCATCAATGCAAAGATCTTAATATGGTGTTCCTTTTTTCAGCTGTAAAAGAAACATTGATCTAATTGAAACTTCATCATGTAGTAAAATCAAAGAGATGACGCATTACTCCTACATCATCTACCTTATTTTTTGCATGCCACGTCATGTGCTCAATTGTGAGATTTGATGTATACAATCATTGCAGTCGCGGGGTTAGGAGATGGTAGTACATTTTTTAATTAGAATAAGTTTTGCTCTTGTCGATCCCCGACAAGAACTTTGTTACTAAGAATGTTTATAAAACTTGTATTTATCTAATTCACTATATTCGATGCATGCAATCGCTATAGCCTTAGTGGTTAGGAGGAAGTAGTATTTTTTTTTTTTAATTAGAACAAGTTTTGCTCGTAAACATTCTCAATATCAAATATAGTGAATTTGATGCATACAATCGCTGCAGACTATTGGGTAAGAGGAAAGTAATATATTTTTTTAATTAGAACAAGTTTTTCTCTTATCAATCCTTGATGGGGACTTTGATATTCGGAATATTTATAGAACTTGTATTTATCTAATTTACTATATTTCTTCCACTAGATCATGTAACCTTTCTTACGGTAATAAATCTTTTTCACTCGGTAAACCCATCCCCTTAACCAACTTCTTTGTTTCATAAAAATTGTCCGTCATACGACTATCGGGAGACATCAACTCCTTCATCGACTTATATAACTAGTTGAAACACTTCTCACGAAAATGGTATTCATCTTTTAGGTTCAGCTTTTGAGTAACTACCGAAAACCGTGAATGTTAATTACAACTAGGCCGAATCTTTCTACGAGATGCATTCAACATATCATAAAAGTGTTAAGCATCGGGATTTACAATCTTCTCCATGCTAGATGGATTGAAGGATTGACTAGTCGCATCCATTACCATAGTTTGATATGGGTTACGGGGTTCACTAGAACTACCTTCGCCTACATGATAATTTTCAAAAACATAATGATTCATAGAATCAATAAATGCTATGTACGACTCAAATTTTCCATGATGTATCTCATCGTAATATCTCAACATAAAACCGTTATGACACAAATGGTATTTAACCATTTCAACCTTGTCAAAATTTTTGTTTCGAAACTTACTATAATCACAAGGACACCTCATTTTAGTTCCGTCCATACAATCGGGATGCTTTATAACAAAAGCAACAAATTATTCAACCCCGTTGACAAACTCATCATTTAATAATTTGTCAACTAACCTAACATTCATCCATTGCCAATCGAATATCATTTTTTAATTACTTCAAAAAATAACAACACATGCAAAAAATTCTTGATCTACATTCCTATGAATTTTAAATAAAAATTAAGCAAATTCGTATTCTAATTAAGGGTACTTGTTAGGATTTTTTGTTTCAAGAATTTGAATTTTTTTAAATGATTGTTTAAAGAATGATTACATCTTCTTTCTCTTTCTTTTCATTTTTAAATTTTTTTGACGTTGTCAATCTACGATGTCTAGATTTTATTAGTATAAGTGAAAGGTTTCGGATGGTAAATAGTAAGTAATTTAATTGATAAAATAATTTATTTAGTACCATATTAAATTATTTATTTGTTACTACCTTTTCTTATGTAATTCTAATTTTGTGAATCGTTGTCCATTAAATTTAAAGGACTAATTAATTACTCATCTTAAAATGTTAATCCTAATTCACATCAAATATAATAAAATTAATTCGAATTCAAAATTTTATTAAATTTTAAATATCAATTTTGATTAACAAGTTATAATATTATAAATAAAATTAAACAAAACGAATCAAAACTTACCTAATTAATGTAATAATAAATTCAACTAAACATGATAAAATTAATTCTAATTCAAACATTTCTTAAATTTAAATATCGATATTAATTAAAAAATTACAATATTATAATCAAAACATACCTAATTAATTTAATAATAAATTCAACTAAACATAATAAAATTAATTTTAATTAAAAAATTTATTAAATTTTAAATATCGATATTAATTAATAAATTATGATATTATAATAAAAAATTTAATAATAAATTCAACTAAGCATAATAAAATTAATTCTAATTCAAACATTTATTAAATTTTAATATCGATATTAATTAAAAATTAAAAATTAATTAAAATTACCAAAAAAATTAACAATTAATTAAGAAAATTTTAACCTCGCCAATTAATAAAAAATAACTTAACAATTAATCAACTAATTTATCAAAATTACCATGAAAATTGCATAATTAAAATTTAACCTAACATTAACAATTAACAAAATTAAACTAACATTTTGAAAAATTAACCTAATTACTAACCACATTAATTTAATAAAAAAAAGATCTAGACACACACACACACACACACACACGCACACACAGAACAAATTAGCTAAGGAGATGAGGGAGAGGAGAGACTGTCGACGGATTTTGAGGAGAAAGTTATGCCTCGCCGGATTGAGTGGGCTAAGGGGGAGTGGGGTAGTGGTTGGAGGTTGTTGGGAGTGGCAACAACGAGTGGAGGAGAGGAGGAGAAGAGGAAAAAAGGGGAAATAGAGCGGAAGAAAAAGGGTTTGGAGCTTGAAGGGGTTTATGATTAGCAACGGATGCATTTCCATCGTTAATTTGAATTTCAAACGTCCGCTTGAATTATCCGGAAATATTGAGAAATTTGCCCATATTATGATGGACATGTTTCCATCATTAGCAACAAAACATTTGTATGCGTCGTTACTTTGAATTTTCTATAATCGCCAATTTTGTTAAAAAATTTCAATAAATTTGCACAAGTAACCAACGGAATAAGATCCTTCGCCGATTAGCGATAGGTAGGGATGGATAATTCTCATCACTTGGCCAGTGCTACATGTAGTGATGGAATTTGTATTCCATCGCTAAAATCCCTTGCCACTCCGTTGTAATTTCGTTGTTGAATTTGGTGCAGATTTTTACCGCTCTTTATAGCGACGAAAAACATTCCATCGCAATACCAGCGCTAAA